ATTGAAACTTCAATCAAATAAGTTCAGAAGTGTTTAAAAAATAAACTAATATTATTACATTTATATGGGAGGATAACAGTCTAAGAAGAAGTAAGACATAATAAGAATATTTATTGTGGTTCTATCTTTGTGCTAGCAAATAGAAAAAATATTTATTCATCACTAGACAGGTGGCTACAAAACTTACAGCTTAGTATACAACAGAAAACTAGGTGATCACTGAAAACCAGAAGGAAGCTCCTCAACTATGAAAGAATACTGAAGCTATTATTTGTAAGTGAAAACGATCAAGGTGGTAAATACTGCACATGATATAATGTTATTTTCTAAAACTGAGGGACATGCATACTTACATATAACAGAATATGTGGAATGGCACATTACAATGAAAAAAATATGGCTTTAAGAAAAAGGATTTAGAAGATGGGAGAGAAGAGAAACTTATTTTGTACTGGGAACTGAGAGGGGAGAGTAAAAAGTTTAAACTTAATAAAGCAGCTCAGTTGCTTCTATGTTTTAGAAGATGAATCACTCATCACGGGAATCTGCTCTCCTTTGGTTGAGGGAAACACTCTAGGAGCACTGATGGTTAAGAAAAATGAAACTAATACGGCACAAAAGAGGTAAAGAAAGAGGGGGTAAATTGTGTGACAGGAGAACTTAAGAGGGAAACAAAGCTCTTCAGAGCCCCTGGAGATGGCTGGGGTGCTGAGGTGAGCAGGAACTAAAGCTGGAAGAAGGGAAGAGAAAAAGAGGGGGGAACCCTACAAAAAGTGGGGAAAAGAAAACCAGAAACACTGGGGAAACAGCAATAAATACGGCCACATGGAGAAACACAGACTTACCCAGGAAGGAAAAGTGTACTTGGAGTTGTCTACTGTTGATGTCACGCTTCGAACTGCAACCGCCATCTCCACCTACTCTGGAACCCAGACGCCCGGGGGAAAGCCGGCCCCAGACACTTTCCAGTGATGGTTCAGAGGTGCACCAGCACCACAAGGGACGTAAGGAAGGAGCAGGGGAGAAAGGGGAAGGAACCCAAGCGAACTCCATATCCATTGCCTTGGAAATTATTTAGTGCGTGTGTCCTAGAATCCGATCATCCCCCCAACCAGATTTGGCATGCCCTGGTTTCCTGCCTCAAATGGATTGGAACCAGAGATAAATGATTCGAGATATCTCTCTTAATGCTGTCTGTTTTGAAGAATGTCAAAAACTAGGAGAGAAGCGAATTATTTAATGCTGTCTTTCAAGATTCAGGCAAGAGTTTACAGAAGTCTATAAGCAAACAGCAGGTAGTGCAGCGGCTGAGTACATCAAGCGATAAGTAGTGGGTGGTTAAGGATGTCCAGTCCACAGTGACTAGCTCCATTTCCGCTGAAGTTACAGCTTAGAAGAAGAAAGGCGTCATGAGCCAGACAAGCATAAAGTCTAAAGGGAAGCTCACATAATCAAGCAAATCCTAGTTTGTGTACAAAAAGAAACAGCAAAACAAGAGAAGCCTGAAAGAGCAGAGCAGTAAAATGGAGATAAAGATTGTGCTGGTCAGTTAGAAAGGAACAACTTAGTATGGAAGGAAAACTGAAATCCATTTATTTGATTTCTAGGACACATAAAATAATATATATGAGAAAAATTCAATAACTTCCCTAAAGTAATATTGGTATAAAATATATTTTCTCACTATAGCATAATAAACCTAGAAATAAATTTAATGGTTCAACTACGAGAAAAAGCTCAAACACAACTAGAGATTGAAAAATGAATTCCAAAGAAGATAAAAATGCAAATAAAAATGAGAATATCACATATCAAAATATATGGAATGTGGACAAAACTGCAGAGAAACAAGCAGTAGCCTACTTTTTGATTATCAAGACGTAATTGATTGCCAAAAGGTAATAAACAGAATAATAAATTTATAACAGAAGAACTAAAACAAATTCCCCATTTACTACCACAAAGATAATTAGATACTGTCTAAAAGAGAAAAGTCTTGGAACACTGACATCTCCAACATGAAGGAATTTATTTCCTAACACGGCTACTATGAACAATAACATTAGTACATTTATTGAGATGAAAATAGAATATTTCACAAAGTGAGAAATAACTGCTTACAATAGCATATTAAATGTGCTAGCATAGAAATAAATAATAAACTAACAGTTATGGAGTGCATATTACATACCAGGTACTCCCCAGCCATGTCACAATATTGATTAATTTTTTCTCATAGCAGTAGCATAATAATTTATGCTCATAATAAGCATCATTCCAGTACTTTTTTATTTTTTAAATGAAAATATTTAGGAAAAGGGAAATTACAGAAGTTTTCCAAAGTCCAACAGTTATTAAGTAGTAGAGGTCTGGAGGAATATATATTTCGTGTGTTCATGTGTGGTACTAAGAATTGAACCCAAGGCCTTCACACTGAGCTACACCCCCTACTCTTTTTTTAAAAATAATTTAATGTGATATAGGGTCTTGCTAGTCATTAAGCTGCCTACAATGAGCTTAAACTTGTGATTCTCCTGCCTTAGCCTCCTAGGGTGCCAGGATTTTCAGACATGTACCACCATCCACTGTGACTCAATACATCAAGACTTCAATAATGATTGTTTCTGAGTGGTGGAGTTATCGGTGATTTTCTATTTTAAGTTATTTGTATTTTCAGTTTTTCTATAATTGACATGTATTACATATATTACAAAGGTTTTTTTAGATGGAAGCAAGACAATTAGGACACAAAAAAGTAAAAGTATAAACTATAAGAGGTGGTGTTTTGAGAAATAACAAAATAGGTAAAAACAAAATAGGTAAGCTCTGATAATTTTGAGAATATGAGACAAAAATTTAAATAAGCAAAATTAAAAATAAGGAATGGAATATAAGAACTAAGTACATATTTAAAATAGTGTACATAAAAAGACCTATTTAAAAAATACTAATAAACTAAATTATTATTTAAAAATTTAAAAATGTACTCTTAAGAGAAATATGAAAGCCCAACTAAAGGTTTGGAAATGTCAAATATACACATGCTCCAGAAAGCTCTATACATAGTTTATGAATCATTCCTTTTAAACTCCTAAAGAACAATAATCCATGTTGTATAATTTACTCAATAAATATAGTAAAAGCATGATACTAAAACCTGATACTTGCAACACAAGAAAATTGTAACTAATTATTCTGAAAAAAGCAGATATAAGTATCTTCTATAAAATAGTAATATAACTTAGTGATAAATCCAAAGAATGACTGAGTTAGACATATGTCTGTAACACATTGATAATTGAATATTAGTATATCTATTAATAAAGTATATTTCTGCGTGTGTCACTGGGTGAAAAGGAGCAACAATGGATAATGAAGAAGCACTTATTACATTCAACTATTCTGGCTTTAGAAACTCTAAGAAGTAGATACAAAGGAATAGAGCTCTGTGATGTAATAAAACATTCCACTCTAAAATCACTTGCCAGCCCTGGTACACCAGGCTTTCTAGTGACTAGAGCTATTTCCATTAAAACCAGGTTAAGAACAGGCTTAAGGGAAGATACAGACCTTTCCAAAACCACATTTCCTCCAGCTCACCTCCTTGAATACCTCTCCCATTCAGGATTCGAGCTAAGGCAAAGCAAACAAGACCCCTGAAATGCAAAGTTGAAGATAATACTTCTAGTATTATACACACACAGGCTTGGGATTTGCAAGATACTCATAGTGGGTGTCTCCTTCAGCTTTTGACCTTTAAAAAAGGCCTCACTTATCTCCTTTTAATCCCACTCCTTCTCATATTTCTTCTCTCCCTCCTCCCCTCCAACCTTTTTCCTCCACACAAGCTCAGGCGGGACTCTGGAGATAGCCACCCGGTCTCCAGAACTTTAGATCTCTCCAGAAGAGAATGAATAGCAGTCCGCAATGGTTGGTTTATTTCAGTTGCTCAAACTCTCGGACTGAATAAATCCTATTGAAGTTTTCCCAGTCCTTTACAGCTCTTTCTCAACAAATCAACCTAACAAACTGTCCATATTTAATCGCCAAAGACCACATACTTTATATTTACAACATACATGAGAAAGGAGTTGAGAATTTGGTTTTTAGATATACCGTATATTATGATATATATAGGGTTTCAGACAAAACTTTTATTTTAATGAATTATTACCAACTATTCTCTCTAGTGCAAAGAATTTAAAGAGTAAAATAAGATAAATGTAAGTGAAAAAATTCTTAAAGTAAAAGTGCTATATAAATGCCAGCTATGATTAATTGCTATTTCCTTTTTCCTTTCTAAATGTATCACAGGCATACGGGCACTCACATGTCATTAGAATGGGGCATATCACGTGAGGTCAGAAACTTTTTAAAGTACAGTCGCAGAAAAAGAGTGCACAGAGCTTCGGAAAAGCTGGCTGAATAGCACAGTAATATCTTACCCTGCTTATCTCCAGACGATGTCCTGTACCCTAGATCTGGGTTCTATCATTGTAGGTACTTAGAAAAATTAAAATGTGTAGTATATTTCATGACATTTTTTTCACTAAGAGTTAAGCTCTTGCTACTATTTCTCAAAATGTATCTGAGACTTACCCTGTTCAAGTGTTCATTTTACAGACAAACCCAGCTCATCATTTGTTAACTTTATAGAAACTGAACTATTTTGCATAGGATCAAAATATCACACCCATAAATAATCTTTAAAAGTATAAAATGTTTACATGTACAAGAATAATATATTTTAAGGTAAACAGTATTATAACGAGAGATATAAACAATATTCAAAAATATAAATAATCATTGGGAGTACAAGATATTTTAATATATAACAATAAACCATTTTGAAGTAAGTACAATCATAACTATATCGTATCAGTAAAAGTCGGCCTCAAATATCAGTGAGTTGTAGCACATATTTCTAAGCATAGCAATAATCAATACCTATTGAATAATCTTAAAACTTTCACTAGTAGACTAGTGATTTTATTACTCACCTAATTGTATCATTGGCTTCTGAAACAGCTTGCAAGTATTCTTTAAAACAAAAATAATTAAAGCAGTATTTCCGAACTTTATAGGCGCGCCATCGTCTCTGAATCTGTTGGTGTAAATAAAAACACAAAATATGGCTTCCATTAGCAACATAATAGTTCTTCAAAATTAAGGCAATTATATCTGATCATATCAAATAAACTCAGGCTTTTCAGTACTGTAACTGTATGTTAGCTGCAAATATGTTTCACTCATAGATGTATTATAAAATGACAGATTAAAAACTATCATAGTATCATTCATTTAAAAATATTGTTTCACAAAGTACTAAACTGTAAAATTAGCAATTAAAAGATTTAAAAGTTGCATTATGAGTGCCTATCATTTTTACCTCATGAGAAAATGGATTTTATGTTTTTTCATAACCACTGCCTTGAAGATTATATTTTACCCATGTAAACTGGCTTTTAAAATTTAGTGGCGTTAAGAGTGTTAAAATGCTGTCCTATATCTTAAAAATGAAATTTTAGTCCTTCTTTAACTATACCAATCGCTAATATTTATTGAGTTCTTTTACACACCAGATAGTATTGTAAATGTTTTGCTTCTATTTATGCATTAAAGCTTTAGACCATTTTTATGAGATAAATATTCATTCTCTCACTTATAGACAAGAAAGTGGCCACAAAAAGAGGTTACATCATTTTTCTATCATCATACAACTGCCAGTGCTAGATTCAGAAATCGAAGCAAGGTTCCAGAAAACCCATTTTCTTAGTCGTAGCACTCCAGAACTGGTAATGAAGTAAAGCACAATTTTCAATCAATGACAGTTATTGAAATATCTTCATTATATCCACTATTATAGTTCAGATTAGTTTTATTTTTACCAGAACATATCATTTTTTTCTTTTTTTAGAGTGATGGGGTATAGCATAATATACTGAAATATGTTCCTATGTATCTTATAAAGCCCCCATATTTATGAACATCAATCTCCCTAACTCCTCTGTTTGCTAATACAATCTCTATTAGATGAACTCAAATACTATAAAGTATAACATTAATTTTGTGGGTAAAATATTTGAATTTATTTAAAGGAGTAGTGATGGAAGAAAAAATAAATATTGATAAGCATTAAGTAAGCTTTCTACATGATTTAACTTCATTCTATATAATTTTCCAATATTTTGTATGCCTATATGTATGATTCACCTGTTATGAATAATTTTCCATTAGGATGTGAAGCCCTTCCAATTTCAGCACCACTTCCTAGGCTAAGAGAGCCCCTGTCTTCTCTAAACATTTCTTAAACAGTAAAGGCTAACAGGTTAGACCCTAGCCCATTGGGTATTACCCCCAATGCCTGTCCTTTTTTAGCTAAAAGATGTTAAGTTTAAAATATTTTAACTTTACTGCTACTTGGAAAAGAATAACTGGGGGCTGGGGATTTAGCTCAGTGGCACAGAACCTGCCTGGCAAGCGCAAGGTCATGAGTTCGATTCCTGGTACCGGAAAAAAACCAAAAAAAAAAAAAGAATAAACTGGATAAATGATTTGAATTCTGGTTTGTTTTTGTGTTTTTTACCTTTCCACTTTAAAACATAGGACATGTCAGGAGATATTTTGCAACTACAATCTGAGGTGCTAGATGCAGATAATTTAAGGAAATGTTTTAGCCAAACTCTCAGTGTATAGTTTGTGAGGATAACTAAACCAGAGACTAGGAAGTAAAACAAACAAAGCTGTGCAATGTGAAAAAGTAATAGGAAGTACTTTTCAAAAATATTTTTCAAATTATCTCATTTTAGGGCTATGCTAGTTACATAAACGAAAATTTTTTTCTGAAGTTACATGGTATTCAATTTAGAAACCTTCTAATTTGACCAAAACCATATCATGACTGAGAAACAGGAGGAACTGATAGAAACAATTTTCTAGTGAATCAGAATGATCAAGTATTCATGTAGTCATACATGAGTCACACATGAAGTGCACATTCACCCGGCTCATGTGATTTAACCCTCCCGCATCCTTGTGAGGAGGGGATTATTATTAGCTTCATAATAAGAAGAGGAAATCAATGTTTAGTAAGTCTACCTAACTGCCAAGGGTCTCCTACCTGCTTGGGTGTTTTGGCATGCTTGCACTGCACACACAGTTACCCTTTTCTTAAAGAAGGGACCTGCAAACACAGGTAGTGGCACTCGAAGTGACTCAAGATACACAAGTAAAGTATGGGATATCCAACTGCACTCAGGGGTGGACTACCTACAACATCAACATATCACCGAACTTCAAATAAAAAAAAATGTGACAGACAACATCCAAGATGTATGATAGGGTATTAAGAAGCACAACAATCGGGGTGTATGACCAGGTGATATAGAGTAGCAGGTACATCCATTCCTGAGCAAAGAGCTTGGCAAAGACAAAGACTGAAACTATCGGAAAAATCTGTGATGAAATAAGCAGGCTCCCCTGCATGGGGGAAAGAGAGGCCAGTGGAACGGATGCCTTCTCTCCCCAAACCCAGCGGCTACGGAAACAATGCTAACCACAGAGAGCTGCAGCAGCTGCTCCCGAGAAACCTCTCATGTCCTAGACATCTACTCAAAGCCACATTCTTTTGCCAGGCAAATCCTTTTACTCATAATTGGGTATTAAACAGTCATAATAAGCAAGTGATGGTTAAGGTAGCACATTAAAGCTCATCCACGCTAAAGTATAATCAGTCAAGGTTTAAGTGGCTTTGTGTGCAAGATGAGAGAGTGAAAAGAGCTGGAGGAACCAAGCTCCCTGAGTGAGGGAAGAAGCTGCCGTCAGTGGAATGAAGAATCTCAAATTCATTGAGCTCCGTGAATGTGCCAGGTGTCATGCTAGCTGCTTTAATCCACGCAATATCCTTGTGTTTAGGGCAAGGTCTCCACGTCACAAATGAAGAAAAAACTAGAGGAAGTATGACCAGTAAATAGCACAGACAGAGTCAGAATATAAGCCCAGGTCTGTCACATTCTCAAGCCCATGTTCCAATGCCGTATCCACTGCAGAAGCGGCGGGGAGAGAATGTGTGTGTGCATTTTTAATTTTAAAGGTACCATTTTTCTTACACTAAAGCTACTCTAGTTTAAGCAGTAGCTTCTTCACATAAAAACACACACCTAAGTTGGATTCTACTACAGTACCTGTTATGGGCATAGATGACATCACCAGTTTCGCCTAAGTTTTCCATTGATATTTCAGTACTAATGAATGGACTTTTCACTTTTTATGAAAAGCACTTTCAGGAGGCAAGATGAATTTTGATCATATATTTTTCTTAATTTAAAGGTGACTAGGTTATGGCTTCCAAATTAATTAATTAATTAATTAAACGGCTAGTATCTATGCCCTTCAAGGTAATCAGCAGCTCTCAGAAGTGATTGGTATAAAACAATTATTGTCATTGATCAGCTCTGAATGGATAATTTTAAACAAAGTCATTGTGTGCTCAGCAGATTACGGCTTGTTAACGGGCAAGTTCTAAACGACCTTTTAAGCTAGTCAAATCAATGATGCATATTCCTCATTAAGTAACATCAAAATGTAAGTGGTCTTATAAATAATGTTTATTTTAAGCACTAAAACAAATGGCAGAAACCTTGATATATCAAAGGCCATCTACTCACTGAAGAGGTTTTCTTCCTCTGCATGTATTTTTATTCGTAAAAATCTATAGTAACCTTAATGCTACTGAAGGAGAGAGAGAAAAGTCTTCTAATCAAAAATTAAAATGAAGACATGTAAAACAAATTTATTGAGAATTTCTCACCTAGAATTAATACTCTAAATATATGTAAGAACACAGAACTAGATCTCAATTATTCCCAATTCTGCTTTTACTTACTAGGTGGCTCAACATTCCGGAACACTCCACAGGAAAGCTGGAAGAGTGGCTTTACTAAATTTTTACAAATGGGGAGTTTAAAAAACAGCAGAAAGGTAATGTAACACAAGTTTTGATAAAACTAATTATGTCAAAACTATGTATGACCTATATACATAAAAAGTATATACTATATCATATATGAAAATAGTTTATGTACACTGTATATATATATATGAAAATTATAACTTTTTCTAGTTTAAATGCACTTAATTTTTAGACAATCTACATGATGTGGTTTTTCCCTAAAAAATAATGCCTCCACTCCACCACTTGCAGGCAACCAGCTTCACAAAAGAGGCTACAGGAAGGACATCGAAGATTATATGAAATCAAGCAAGGCAAACTTGAAGAACAAAGACCAGAAAGAGTAAAACTGTTTATGCCAGGGGCTGCAGAACAAATTGAGCACGTCCTTGCTAGGTTCAAAAACTATCAGTTCTTTATTGGTGCAAACATGAATCCAGATGGCATGGTTGCTCTCCGAGACTTGCATGAGGATGGTGTGACCCCACTTATAATTTTCTCTGAGGATGGTTTAGAAATGGAACAGTATTAACAGACTGAGTGGTTACCTTGGATCTCACACTTGTCATACCTGGCTGCTGCTTGTCATCCACACAACAACAGGATTTTAGAAAAATGGGACTGATGATATCTTGAATGCTTTAGTTATATAGCCTTACTTTTATCTGAAATTTCTGGATAATTATTACATAAGCAGATTCTTTAATATTCTGTTTCCACATTCTACCTCACTTTATATGGCCTTTCTCTATAAACCAATTTAAACATTTCACAGTGAGGAGGGAGGAACATTCTTTTGCATGGAAACACCACCACTGTCAGGGAAAAGCTCGGTTGATTCCCTCCTCTCTAGTTCCCTAGGTTGATATTTAAGGGTAATGGTCTTTCTGTGAGGACGACTACACACTGTTCATCCTGCATTTACAAATTCTAACATAATGTTCTGTGTCTTTTTACTGAAAATTTCACCCATCTCCATCTACTGTTGGAAGTGATTATTCTAAACATGTAGGCTTGTGATTATACATGGTTTAGGAAACCGAGATGAGCATTTATGTATGTGACAAATTCAAACACTTGAAAGTCACCATACAGGTTTTTCTTATACTTTCATATTTTGACACAAGTGCAAAACAAAAGAAATAGTAGCTTGA